GCCACTGATTTGGACTACCTTTTGAGTACTGCACAGAAAATAGCATTAAGCATGCAGCTGGTGAGATGTTGGGAGAACAGTTTCTCATAAACATAAGAAAAGGATCGCATTTTCCGGAAACTTGACTATGAAGTCTTCGTCAAACAGCAGTGAGAGAACAAGCCAGAATATCTGAAATGTATTATTCTCTCAATGATGTTGAGACTGATTTAAATGAGAAGGCTTTTTAATATTAACATAAATGAACTAGTTCTAATTCTGTACTCCAGAGTCATGCATCAGAACATGTCTCTGCGGTGCTTATAGCATTGTGCTTATGGACTGTAATTTTCAGGCAGATGTCTTAAAATTCACAGTTATTTTGTTTTCATCTTTTTGAATTGAGAGAGAACTTTTGTATTCTCCCTTTTGTCCCAGAAGCAACAAAATCTTGTTACATGATTTGCTCACAATCATGTTTTGCCATGCCATGCCTGTTTGTTCATAACAGAGGGTAAGGTGAGACATTGTCTACTATTTTTTTTTGAATATGTTATTTTGGACATACTGCTCTTCATTCTGCTGCTCTGCATGTTTATCATGGAATTGTTTTCAAAATTATTAAATCTACAACTTCTAATGCATAGCATTTATTACACAAGCTTCCAGAAATTTCCACCCTTATGAGTACACCATTTCCAAGAGAAGAACCTTGTCACCTGGAAGCATAATACAAAGGAAGCTTTCATATTTGCATAAAAAATTGCTTGATAGCAAAGTCTCCAAGGTGTGCTTTGAATTCATGTATGCAAATTTGATATAATAAAACAAAATGCTCTAAAGATGACAGAAAATAATGGTACTCAAGACAGGTTTAAAAATTGGCTTCCTCTTCTTTTACCTGGAGTCTAGAAAGAATTTTGAAAGTATATTTAATTTGTGGTTTAGGTTTTCATTTCATAAACTCAGTTACTACTCAGCATCCTTTCTTTAAATAGATTTGTCTCTTTCGATTTATGGCATGTGCTGTCCCTGTGGAACTTTACAGAAAAACTGTACAGTCATTTGTCTTTGTTACTTTGTGAAGTATTTGGAAGAAGTAAACATATTAGCTCAGCAAATTTAAAAATAATAGTAGTTTTAAAACACCTTACATGAGCTGTTAATTGGAATAACAGGTGCTAAAGACAAACTATACATTTTTTTCAAGGATCCCAATCTCTCAGAGAACAGTAAGAAGCCGTGGCAGTTGCATCCATTCTTTTTTAATTGCTTAATACAATTAAAAAATCACTCAGTTTAATTATATTCTAATCAAAGTTATTTTCCAGCATCATCTTTCATTTTCCTAACTAAACAAATGATAATTTATTTTTCAAATTCTTTTAAAAAATCCTGATCTTTCTCTTTTCTGTTTTTACAATAATATCCAGTTGTGTTTGCATTTGCACAGTAAATGAATATTATCAGTCTTGAACCTTAGTGTAGATCTGAGAAAAGATCCTGACAATTTTTCCTGTAACAGTGTTACTTTACAGCAGAGACACTGCGTGTAATACTGCTATCCCATTAAATATATCAAAAGGAGAAAGGTCAAAAACAGTACACAGTGTAATATGCATTTTTGTCTGCTTCTTTCTATTTGCACACTTATTGTGACTGTTAAGGGAAATGTGTGTTTGGCAGAGTATCTAGTCATTACCTTGGATAATGACCTGATTTTAAGAATATTCAGGCAAAGGGATAATTTGTCCTCTCTGCCCATTTGCCTGATCTTTTAAAATGACACCTCTTAGGACTGTATAAAGAAATATAGAAAGTGTACTGAAAAGCATGCTTGTGTGAAGAGAACAGGAACAGGCTCATCCTGATGTTGTTTTTGATGCACGAACTGTGCCTATTAATGAATTGAAATGTGCAACCTTTTAACATTCATTTAAAGAATGAAAATTGAAGACTAATCTTAAGCATTTTGTTTTCCTTATCACAATGATTTTTAAAAAAATCTGAGTTCTGTTTAAGTTTTAAAGATAACATTTATTTCATTTGAAGAGATGAAAAGGATTTCACAAACAGGACTATAAAAAGTTTCCAAATTCATGGAAGTACTTAAGTCTTTTTCTGGATGACAAGCTGTGTGGTGAGTTGACACACAGGAGGAAAGGGATGCCATCATGAGCAAACAGTACTGAAAGATGGGACCCTATGAACTTCATGAAGTTCAGCAAGGCCAAGTGCAAGGTGCTGCACCTGGGTCAGATAGACCACAGACACGAATACAGGCTGAGTGTTCAGTGGGTAAACAGCAGCCTCGAGGAGCAGAACTTGGGAGTACTGGAGGATGAAAAACTGAACAGGAGCCAGCAGTATACACTTACAACTCAGAAAGCCAATCATGTCCTGGGCTGCCTCAAAATAGGGGTGGCCAGCAGGGCAAGGGAGGTGATAGTAGCCCCCTGCTCTGCCCTTTCGAGGCCCCACTTTGGAGCACTATGTCCAGAGCAAAACATGGACCTGCTAGAGCTTTTCCAGAAAAGGGCCATGAGTATGATCAGAGGGCTGGAGCATCTCTCCTGTGAAAACAGGTTGACAAGTTATTCAGCCAGAAGAAGAGGTGGCTCTGGGAAGACACACTATTGCAGCCTTCTAGTATCCAGGGGCCTACAGGAAGGCTGGAGAGGGACTCTGTCAGAGAATGTAGCAACAGCGGTTTTAAACTAAAAAATAGTAGGTTTATATCAGATTATGTTGGAAGAAATTCTTCACGTAAAGGGTGATGAGGCACTGAAACTGTTTGCCCAGAAAATCTGTGGATGCCCATCCCTGGATGTGTTCAAGGCCAAGTTGGATGAGGTTCTGAACAAGCTGTTCTCATGGAAGGTGCTCCTGTCCATTAGCAGTGGGAGCTGGAACTAGATGGACTTTAAGATCTCTTCCAACCCAAACTATTCAACGAGTCTATGCTTCTGTTCAGCTATGAATGAGCAACTCTGGGCAGAAAAAGAAGTTAATAAAATGAAATAGAAGCAAAACCATAAAAATAACAATAATATGACTTGTATTTTAAAAGACTTCTACAATTTCCTAGCAAACTAAAACAAAACAGAAAAGATTTGCATGATAGGAATTTTAAAATGAAATAGTATGTTTCCACTATATACTTGTACCTATAAAAAATATAGGACAATGTGCTAGTAAAATGATCCACGGAGTATTCCCTTAAATTACAGCTACAGTAACAACAATGAAAAAACAATTAGAAATTTAGAAATTAATCTACAGTTTTCACTTATATCTGGAGTTGAAATTTCAGTAAGGAAATGGTTGAATCCTCTGGGTACAGAAATTTTGGTTAAACTTCCCATGGTTGTGTTACCTTCATGAAATATATTTAAACTAACACATGTCTGTTTAGACATAAAACTTATTTTACTTAGTGTGCTTGAGCAATTCAACAATATATTTCTTCAATTTCCCCCTGCATTCTGCTACAGTTTCTTTAGTCTCCCTTCATTACTTCATTGTTTTTCTTCTCAGTGGTCATTGTCAAACAGTAATAAACTGCAATGGAGTGATAGGGAGAACTGACATTCCAGCTGAGAGGAGGATTGATGATGTGTGGGAAGTAGTAATGGAGAGGTATTCGGACTTCTCGTATTCTCGTTATACTGTTCTAAAAGCATTTCAATAACTATTCTGATAATGATTATGAAATACAGCAGAGCTCTCTGGAGACAGATTTTGCCAGTGTCCTTAAATGTATTTAACTGCTAACTCCCTATAATTTGTTGCAAAGTCAATACTTGCTTGAGTATTTTGCTTTACTAAGCTTTATACAGTGCATACAGTACAAGTAAAAGCATGACTCTGTAGCTCCACGCTGGTCACCATACAACCTAGTGAAAGGAAGGTGGTAGTATGATGTTGGTTAATATTTATGGTACTGAGCTTTATCATAGATATTTTTAATATTATGTACCACAGGAGGCACTCTGTCCCTGTCATTAGTTTAGTTTTTCAGTAATTGCTCTTTATAGCTTACCTGCTAGGTAGCTGAGCATGTATTATTCACACTTGGAGCAGAAGAGGGCAGGGACCTAGGCATGTATGCTGAAAACTCTTGCAAATTTAAACAATAGCAAAACTTTCCAATCTTGCTGCAAAGAGTTAGCATGTTCCATTAACCATGTTCCAGTTCTCCCTTGATCCAACAGTTTCATTCTCTTTCAACAAATGCTTCCCAGATCATGGATTTACTCATCTTTGAATCAGCAAGTCTATTGCTACATCCAAAATAATGCTCAGACATTCAAGTTCAAAGCTTCAGAATAATTTCCGTCCACTCCTAGTGAACACTGGAGGAATTATCTGTACTTGCTAATTACAGAAATCTGAAAAGGTCTTAAATTTATGGTATATGTATTTAGGGATAGGGATATTGAGGTGTTCGGGATTTTGAAAACCGAGAGCTGTATCACTGTCATACTACAGTAGAGAAATATATACATTAGTTATAAAATGAGCATGAGTTCTCTGACACAAGACACAAGTTCTGCCTCCTGACCCCCTGTTAAAGCAATCAAACTTCCATTAAGAAATCAAGTAAAACAAAACAACAAAAGAAAGGTAGAAGGAAAAACAAAAGCTTTTGCTTTAAAAGTTAACTGCAGTTTAGACTTGATGACTTAGCAATGCTGTGAAAAAAAGCTATTTTTTCAGTTTCTCTTTTTTTTTTCTTGCAGAATTACATCATTACCTTAGGGTAGTTTTAAAGGACACAGAAGATGATGTATTTCAGTTGACAATGAATACAGCTAGTTGATGTGTCAGGAAGTGGTGATTGTCAGGTCACTACACAACGAAACTGTATTTTCAGATTTATGTAAAATAAGCTTCTCTTCTTTCCTTTAGAATCCTCCTTTCTTTTCCCCTATGCTGACCACTTGCACATACCAGGCATGTGTACCCTTCCACTTTCACATGATGACAAATCCAGGAGATAGACTTTGATATCAACCTACCATTCGGATGCCGTTCTCAAAGGCCTGACGTGCTAGAGAAGCAGGTCCGTCTACAGTTTTGCCGTCGTCATCAGGCCCCCAGCTAGCACTGTAGATGTGGATGTGCTGGGGATTAAGACTCAGAGACTTTGCTTCTACCATGTCTGTGACATCTCCATCCAGCATCCTTACACCTTCAGGATGAAAGATACAATCAACATGACAACCAAACACAAAAAGATTCTTTTTTCTTTTTCTTTTTTTTCGGAAATAATGGCTGTGTGGGGCATTGGATTAAGATTCCTAATGTGGAAAACAAAATATCTTTGGATATTTGTTTCTAAAACAACAACAAAATTTTCCATATGAAGAAATGCTGTGAGGGAGTAGTATTATGGTTTTTGAGTTTTGAAAACTGTCTTCAAGTCATTTAGCCACCGTATAAACCTTGAACTTTAACAAGTTTCTATGATGAAACAAATTAAAAAATAACTTGAATATTGAAATGTTTGTTTATTTCATTTGAAGACAGTGTATATGCTTCTCATTCTTCTTTTATGCTGCAGTGAAACTGCAGAACTTAATTGAAGACATTCACAGTCCTAAGAACACTGACAAATACAGAAACAGGATATCCACTGTCAGGTAAACATGGGAATATTCCTTCACTGTATCAGATGTCAAGGAATAAGGCAAAGGGAAAGCTTGCATGTACAGGTAACCACGTAGCAGCACAGCCACTATAGGAAGTCACTAACAAATACTATGTGTCACATTGTTCCACCTGAAACCAGAATACTGTGAACATCCTCCCATGTGAAGAAGCTTTTGTACTTCACTTTGTACAGACAGTACAGTCTGAAATTTCTGTAATATTAAATATTACATCATAATTAGCATGTAACTGTAGAGAGAGTAATGATCACTTCCAAAATTAAACGGTTTGAGGCTTATTCCCCTTTAAAAGTCCACTGCTATTTATAAGCCAAATTTACATATTTTAATTACAGACACATTGCACTTTGCTCATGAGTTCAGACTGCAGTAACTTGAGTGTTTACAAAGACCTTGACTTTCAATTAACAAAAAAGTATAGAGGCTGCTTTGTTGATAGAGGGTCTTTTTTTCTTCATTCTAATTGACTCAAAAATGAAAAGTGATCATATTTCTAAGTTCACACAAAAGCTGCCTGTGTTTTGTGAGATAATAAACTTGTCCAAACAGTGATCTCACTAAGAACTTTACTGTATAAAAAAGCCATTAAAACAACTTTGGGAATCTCAGGTTTTATTTTAATTCCTAAGCATAATCTTAGAAAACTAATGATGGTTGGAAGCTAAGTTCTCATTTCTTGCAAGCATATTAAAGTATATTTCATTCAACATAAAGAGACAATGAAAGCTACACTGCATTTGAAAGAAGGAAGATAAAGCTTCCCTTTATGTTTCTGTAGCTGCGTAGCAAACCCAGGTCATACAGCATTTACCCAGTGAACAATAACACCAGATGCTGCCATGGCACCTAAGTAATTCACACCAGGTTTTTTAGTTGATGTTGAAGTGGTCAAATCTAAAACAAGATGGACAAGGCTGTGCCTTAGGTGCAGCTCTGTTCTGCCTAAGACTGGCAGACATGCTTCAGGTGTAACTTTGATCAAGGATATCTCAGTGGCTTTTTAAAATACAACAACAACAACAAAGCACTAAACAACACACTCCTTTTTTTCTCTTTCTCTCCCCTTCTTTTATTTATTTATTCTTTTCCAAATGTCTGGAAGAGTTAATTTTGCTGATCACAGAACCTCCAAACTCCATTTGGCATGTGGTGATAGCACAACAAAAGTTGTCCAGAAGGCAATTAGCAGACTGTGTTTCCAGACTGTTCCACCTAAGACTTTGGAGCTCTGTAAACTTTTTCCAATATCTACAGAGTGCCAAAATGTAAGTGGCATTTTAGTCAGAACAAACTTTCAGCAAATCACAGGAAACATGCAAAACTAAGCTGAAAGAAGGTTTTCTTTTAAAATGTTTGTCTTTAATCAGCATCTGACTTAAGCTTAAAGAAACAGCTGAACTAATTCCTCGTCAGCTGAAGACAATCTACATCTGTTGTGCCATAACTCAGTGTAACTGTTTTCCTGTCAGGACTCCAGCCCAGCCAAGTAACTAAGCACCCAAATCCCTGCAGAGGCTTTGCAACTTCCACAACCAGTCTGCAGCAATAACAACAGCCTAACCATCCTTTCCTATGCAAAGTCTCACAAACTCCTTAGGTGGTAACTTGCTATATATGACTTCCATGGAGGGTCACACATTAAAGAAACTACCCCTCTTTTGCATGGCATTGTATTTTAATAAAAGGGGCCTGTAGCTGAGCTAAGCACAAACTATAGGTATATTGCTTAATTTTTTTTACAAGAAATATCCCACAGGCTATAAAAGAAATGAAGGTCCAGATTGCATTTTTACTCAGATTTTTATATCTGCAGATTAAGTCCTGATTCAAACTATTTAGGAGAAGTCTTGGACTTTTTGAAGAACTTGTGGTTAGAGGCTTTTACAAATGTGAAAATGATCACAGAATATGATCATATTTAGAAGAAAAGTGGTGGACATACTTGTTAACGATCTTCCATCACAACGATCACTAATTGGATTTGCTCACAGAATCACAGAATGGCCCAATAAGGAAGGGACCTCAAGGATCATGAATCCTCAACCCCCTGCCAAATGCAGGGCCACCAACCTCCCCATTTAATACTAGACCAGGCTGCCCAGGGCCCCTTCCAGTCTGGCCTTGAACATCTCTAGGGATGAGGCATCCACAACCTCTCTGGGCAGCCTGTTCCAGCACCTCACCACTCTCTCTGTAAAGAACTGCCCCCTGACATCCAACCTAAATCTTCCCTCCCTCATTTTCTCTTGGCCTGCTGTTTATCTGCCCTTTCAAAGAGTTGACTCCCCTCCTGTTTGTTAGGCTCCCTTTAGGTACTGAAAGACTGCAATGAGGTCACCCTGAAGCCTTCTCCTCTCCAGGCTGAACAAGCCCAGCTCACTCAGCCTGTCATCGTAGGGGAGGTGCTCCAGCCCCTGATCATCTTTGTGGCTCTTCCCTGGACTCTCTCCAGCAGCTCTCTGTCTGCTCAGCTGACAGTATTTGATATAATATTGATGGGAAGGATTTATTTTTCCTTTTGCTTTATTTCCTTGCTATCCCTAATGTGTACAGAGATGTAGCAACTCCCACTTTGATTTAAAGTAAAAAATACTCATCTTGGCAGAATAAATTCAACACCACTGTTGGCAGGTGTTCCTCTTAATAAGGAAAGTCTAACTGCTTTACCTTCACTCTAGTTCCTTCTCCAAAATAGCGAAAGGAGGGTCTTTAAATCTGTGGGAAATAAGTGAGTTGAATACTAGTTCAGTATAATATGATTCAACGTTTTTACACTCTATCTGGCCTGTGGAGAGGGAACACAACCACTGCATATTCACATGTACAGCTTATGGCTTTTCTGAGTGAAGGGAGGAAGGCATGCCAAATAGAGGTCAGCAGCAAAATTCCTACATATGAGCACCTAGTGGAAGGGAAAAAAACAACCCCCTTTTCCAATATCTTTGAGCTCTCTTTGGTCTCTCACTTTCTGCAGAACAGGACTGTTAAGGTCCTATTTTCAAATACCAGTAATGTTAAAAGGTGGTACATGATCATGTTGCCACTCTAGTATTTTCCAGCTTTCTTTAAATAATGATGATACTGATGGTCCACCAAAATTATTGTGCTGAAAGAGAGGATAATTATTTACTTAAACTAGAACAGTGAAAATTCTTGAAAGCTGTTATATTCTTAGAACAAAATAAATAAACACATTATGCAAAAGGCACACATATGTTGCCTTTGCTTTTAACATAAATTGTGTCCATGTCCATCTGAATCAGTTTTCACATATTTAGAAAAAAAATGTGATTCTGCTAGTATGCCTGTTGTTTCGTTGTTGTTTTTTTTTCTTTAAAAATATTGTTACTGCAGATTCCTGGTGCCAAATAAATAATAACCTATTAAGAAGCCATTGTTAATAATGAAGAGCTTCACAAGCACATGCCTAGGCTTTTACACATCATATCAATATCCAGCTGGGAAATGAAAATTTAATTCCAGAAGTCACCTTGTATTTATATCATTGCAATAACTCTTTTCAGATGCTGGTTTGAAGCAGTAAATTTGTTCATAGCTGCTGGTACATGATCAAATGCCCTGCCCACATGAGACAATCTGTTCATCTGCCACAAGCTCACTTGGCCAGCTCAAATACTTTAAAGCCTTCTGACACAGGAATTTTGTGCAGGCAGGCTCTTTGCCTGAAGTCAAATTGTTTATCTGCATCACTCTAGCCTTATGATGGAACAGATATTGTCTTGAAGCTAGTAGGAAAACAGAACGATCTCTGCTTTGGCTAATTTGAAACACAGTTGTGTTCACATTTGATTTGAATCAAACTTGTACTGATCCAGTAGGGAAAAGATACAGTAGTGTTAATTGTGGAAACAGCCCCAGCCCTGCCTGCTCATATTTTTGAACTATCTTCTATGATATATATGTGTAAATATATTTCTGTTTTCATAAATAGGTTCCATTTTAGAACAGAAAACCAACAGCTAATGAATTTGAGCTACAGGTATTTTACTGAATGCCAACATACCAATCCCATAATTCCATCAAAAATGGAACAAGGTAAAACTTCAATTGAAGCATTAAAATATGGCACAGGCAGGCTACAGCTTAGAAGAAATGTAGTTGACATCTTTACAGTCATTTCCAAGACCAACTGCCAAAAGTCTTGAGCTGCTATTGGCTAAGAACTGATAGAAATCACCTGGAGCCTCTTGGCTGAACAGAGCAAGGACATATTATTGAATCTCATACTTCGGGCAATAGTCCAATCACATCCAGGGATTAAAAGATACTCTTCAATCACAGCCAGACAACACAACAAAGTTTTAAGTTTCCACAGTGTTTTTCTTGAGATCAATACACAAGGCAATACTCCTTATGTTTACATTTACTTCTGATTTCTCCAAGCTCATTACTTACAGCTCTGGATCTCTAAGAAAACACAGATGGTGTAGTTCTGGGTTCTGTGTTTTCACTGAACATCTCGCTTTCTATGTTACTGTGTTTACTGACAGGCAGTGTTCCCAGGAGCACTGGAGAAGTGTCACCACAGACAAACTCCTTCAGTACTGGTCTTCAAACATCACTTTACTACTGAGTTAACACAGCAATAACCTGTATAAACCTCTTCCTCTTGTTGAGAAAGATGAGAATGTAGCATTAAGCACAAATGTCTCATTGTTTTTTTTTTTTTTTTGTGGTGGGAGACTGTTTCACATACCTCCAATCTTGGCATTAAAGGCGATTCCCACTGTGCAGTGTGAGTTGTTTGCAGTGGCTGCCACTTCTCCAGCACAACGGGTTCCATGCCTAGAGTCAGACAAACATTTTTTCAAGTAAGCACAGACCGTTGGAATTTACAGGCATCGGCTTTGCTCATCCTCAGGTGCTAAAGGCACAACTATCCACAATGTCCTGCACTATTTAGAACCCCACAGTAATTTATACCCACATTGCAATATTCCTTTGAACATATTTTAACATCATTATCAATGTTAACTTAACCTGTTCATGGCGGGCTTCCTAGCTACTGGAAACACATGTAACAAAGGCATACAAAGATGATACATGATCCCACCAACAGAAAGAAGACTTGGGCATCAATTCTTGATTTTGAAGCAGTTCCTAGGTTATGCACAGAATTGCTGTACTGCATTCTCCCATAATATCCTCATGTTGCTAGCATACACATCTCCATTCAGTGAGTACCCTAGGCAGCCACAAGACATGCCACATTTCCCATGAAGATGAGACTGTGCCAATGCTTGTGCTCCTGTTTACAGGCATGCCTACAACTGGCTGCAGGCCAGGTGTAATCAAAGCTGCTGTAAAGGCATGTTATAGTCATGTCTTGGGCTAACCCTACGAACCTGCTGCCTTTGCAGGAGCAGAAAAAACAGCTGGAGTACAGCTTCTCATCAGCATTATGCCCTGTGCCTGGGATTTGGGCTGCAAACGTATTATCTCAAGAAGCAGCTGAAAGAGAACGCAAAACCTCCAGTAGTTGCTTAAACTGTGTGAAGTACAAGGCCAGAAAAGGATGCCTCACCTAGCCCTGAGCCATGCCCTTTACAGCTGTAATCCATATCATCACTATGCTAGGAAAGCTGACCCTGGTTCCTGTGATTTTTGTCTGCAATACAAGCTTCCCACGGTGATTTCCATCAGTAAATTTTGCCCCTCATCCATGTGCAGCTAGGCAGCTCCACTGCAGAAATGTGACATAACTAACAAGGAGCAGACAGGGAAATTCAGATTTTTGCTGTAGAGAGGTGCTATGGAGTTTCAATCCAGAAAGGGAAAGAGATCTGAAGTTGATGAGATAAAGATGGAAAGATAATATAGGGCTTGGGTAGCCACAAAGAAAGAACTTAAAAATTGAAGGCTAAAAGTAGATAACAACATGGCAAGCATTTTAGGTGAGGTCAGCTGTGTACACAAGCAGTCTTCCACTGCTGATGGGTGACAGACTGCTTACATAGACATCTGGAGAACACGGGTGTTTTTGAACTAAGGTTAACACCCACATTGCAGACAAGAATCACAGTTGCTTTCTCTTGGTACAACTTGTTTTGGATAGAATCACTCCTTATTTCCATATTATTAGTGTAATTTTTTCCCCTTAACATTCTGAGACACGTTGATGAGAAATGCTACAACAACATGTAATGTAAAACATGAACAACAACATGACTAGAAAAATAAGAGGAAAAAAAACAAGGAATAAAAGTGATTGGAGTTAACCTGTTAGAATTTTGAATGAGACGATTAAATTTATCAGGTAAGTTAGAAATATATTCTCTGAAAAAGTGTAATCTTTACTAACAAAACCAAAGTGATAATACGGATGCTGATGAATTCTAAAACTGGATTAAGGTTTCACAGTTATATATATAGCTTCTTGAATCACTTCCTATTATCTGTTCACAGTTCATCATTTAATTGCCAAACTTGATCAGAGACTTTTTCAAGACTTAATTTTATTTTTCATCTGAAGCTGAATTTTCAAGCCAAATTTTCTTAATTTGGAGAAAACCAGTCTAGTTGAAATCGATGCAGCAATATCCTTTATGGAATTACTTTCCAAAGCCTGGAGAGTATCATTCAGAAATCACAAAGCATAGACTACTGTGGCCTATAAAACTACACATAACACCCCAGTGCATGAATTTCACTAATAAACCACTTCTTGCATGGTGAAATATATATGGATGCGGTGCAGCTTCCCAGAGGGAGACTGTGTTGGTGAGAAACCAAGCCTTCCTGGGTACACAACTTAAAAAGAGCATGAGATGAACGTGAACAAAGTTTTTTCAGCAGAGAAAGGGAACAGATAAAATCCACATCTGGAAGATTAAGTCTGCCTGAAGAAGAATGGAAGAAACTTCTGCAGTTTCTCTGGAGTTCACAGCACCTAAGCACCATCAAAAGGTTAGGGTTCCACCAAACAGACCCCAGGATCAATGTTATGTTTATACATGGCAAACAGACGACGTGTAGTGAGGGGCTGCATGGGATTAAATGCAACCTGAAGCTGTACCCCAACTTCTATCTGAAATGGAAGTAGCTGCATGCCAGAGGTACTTCTAGTATCAGTAAGAAACAGCCAAAAGTGACATGGAGGTATGATAACAAATACTCACTGAATTAAAGAACAGTATGAAATTTCATGTGAATTTCAGATAAGATTAAAAAAAAAAAAAAAAAAAAAAAAAAGCCTATTCTAGAGAGAATTAGGTCTTTGGACAGTTTTGTGATATGCAAGTTAAATTAACTTTGTTGAATATTTCACTAATCTTCCTGCATTGGAAAATCCTTTTTATCATCTTTAGTGCAGTAATGTTATAAATTTATTTTGTTAGCAGATTTTTATGTTAGACTGTTGCTTTTCTGCCAAGATTATTGCTAATTGCATTCCACATTTATATGGGAAATGACAAAATTAAAAGTTGTTTTATTCATTTCAAGGTCATATGTATAAAACTGCACATCTCACAATCAGCTTCTCACTGTGAGAATTAATCATACATGCAACTCAATTTGTTTTAATATGTTATCTTTTATGGGTCCTTTAAGTAATATTTCAATTACATTGTGAAAGGAAAGACTCTGTAAAATCTTGCACGTAAAACATAATGTTCTCTCTACACTGCTTTTCATTTTCTCTGTCCTAGATCTTTCTTGAGATCTACAGTTTCAAAGAGACTCTGAATCCTGCAAGTGAAATTAGAAATGCCTCCTCATTAATCACTACTGTGATTACTAACTATTTAAACAAATATGATGAAACTGATGCTTGAGATTGATTAGGTTTGCTTTCGGGCCATAAGAACTTCCCTGAAGAATGAAATCCTCAAAATTCCAAATTACAGTTCATGGAGACATACCATGGAGACATATTGTAAGACTTAATACTAACACGAGGTAAAACACGTAAGGTGCTTTCAAACTAACATTTTTTGTGAATGAATATATTTCAAAACACAACAATCTCCTATATTGGTAGGATGCTTGCATCACACCAACTTGTTTAAAAAAGATGGTGCAGTCCTAGAATAAAACATGACTGCCTTTCTACAAAGGCTTATCTTGATAAACTTCAAGGGTCAATGCTTCATTCCACTGTATCCCTTGCCAGCATATACTGGTGGGAAATAAGCTCCCAGGCTACTAAATTGCACTTTGAGGAAACACTCAGGTAAAGGGTTTAGCACTTGTCCTTCATGTTCATGTAAGTGTGATGCAGTATTACAGAACAGAAAAACGAAAGGATGTTTGGCTATAAGACATTATGCCCATCTACAAATGGGTCCTCTACCTGACGTCTGAAAGAAAGAAAAGGAATGGAAAAAAGAAAAGCTTTCTTTTGTTACGATTCATAAGGAAAGACACACACAAAAAACTGCCATTCAAAATGATATTCAAAAATTTGGGCTTGAGATGCTACCAGGTAAAAGAAAGATGTCACATCCGTTATCTTCAAAATAGTTGTATTTAGACACTTACAAAATTGGCTAACAATTTCTACCATAAAATTTATTTCTCATATGATTCTGATTATGTTCAACTTCTGCAGCTAATTTTTCCATTCGGACAACTATGCAAACCTTTTTCAGAAATGTATTTATTTTCATTTTTGTCTATGTGATAGACAGAACACACACACACACACACAAAAAGAAGAAAAGAAAATGAACTGTATAAAGTTCATCAGTCTGTCACTAATAACAAGCCAGTAAGTGTCAAAGACCTACATTAGAAGACCTTAGTAAAGATGAATTCTCTGTCTTATGATGCCTCTGCTATTAGAGGGATAAATTCAAACAAACTGTCAAAGAAATATGCCTCTGTGTGAGTAAATGTATGCCACCTTTTGTGTGCATGAAAAGTGCGTGAGTACCTGGACACTAAAGGATCTTTTGATGGCTTCCTGAGAATAAGATAAGAGAAATGTAAGAGCCGCGCTATTCTGTTATACAACGTGCCTTTTTTCAGTAACAGAATTTAGTAGATTTTCTCTAGAACAGGAACAGGTCAATATTTCAGGCAAGGGATAGAAACGTGCATGTTCCATGTTTAACTATAACTCTCCATCCCAGCAACATATAATTTAAACATATGACATCTATCTTTCAGTGATCAGTTTTGATTTGACTTTCAGAAGAGGAAGAAGGTATAAGGAACCAGGTAAGATAAAAGTTAATTGCTTCAGAGCTTGCCTCTGAACATTCAGAACAAGAAAATGTTCAGTTAAGGAAGAAAGCTGCCAGTATTTTTAAAATCCCCTTCCACATAAATTGGCTCTGCATTTCAGAGTCTCCATCTCTGACAACTATTCACTGAACCCGGCAAACACTCTGAACACGCATTTCTTTGCAGTATTTTATTCTTTGGAACTCACCAAGTATTTCGGAACACAAAAAGCTCAGGAGACTGGAGGATTTAAAGCCCTACAGCTTTTCATGACACTAACATTACAGTCCAACCCACTTCAACCTGTCACCACGAAGTCTTTTCAGACTAGGAACTTAAGGAAAAAGAGTTTCAGAGTATTTCAATGCAAGCCTGTCACAAATGTCTCTGGTCATACCAGTGATTTACTGAGGTTTTCTTAGAGATACTCAGCACAGAAATGAGCTTGTGTAAAGAAAAAAAGAAAACAGAGGCTTGTTTGTTTGTTTTCATCAGGGGAAATACTGACAGAAAACTTCACATCCTTTGCAAATTCTGTGCTGCACGTATTGTGAGTGGATATCAAATAACTATAAAAAGATAGAACAGATAGTCTAAAAGTTCACATCAAGTTACAT